TTTTAAAAAAAGGCTGCAAATTCACTGATAGAGATTTCAAAGCTCTTCTAAAAAGAAAATAAAACTATCATATAACATGATCCTACTTTCTTATATACTCCTGTGACATCCAGGGACCTTTTTAAAACTGTGAGCATATATCACTTTGTAATTTAAATACCATCTAGTACAAATAGCAGGGGTTGTATGCTAAAAAGAACAAAATGTTACTTCTACCCACCACTCTTGGCAAAATTCTTTAAAGCAATGAATTTATATTCAAAACATGAAAATAAAATTGAAAAGAATTATAGACATGTCTCAGTGCACCAATATATTGTTATAACACACACAAAAAAGGATAAATTAAAAAATAAAAAATATTAACATATCACTGATAAAAGACTGGATTATGCCTGATTAGAAAAAAGTGATTCAGAAACTGCCATTCTGAAAATTAAACTTAAAAAAATGTAAGTTCAAAATACTCATGGTTCAAAGATGAAAAATGTTTTAAAAACAGTTTGATATGTTTAAGTATGTTTAGGCATTTAATGACTATTCAAGTTATTTCTGGAAGTAGGTCATGTACCTGTTTTACAGATTAACAAATTATACTTGGACTTACTTAATAGCCTACATATACCTGTGTCCAGTCCAACTTAACATGAAAGAATTGAAAATGGTATTACTAAAGTACTTTCAATAATACAGCAGAGTACACAGTGAAAATAAGTCTCCTTCCCATCCCAAATCCCTTGGGTGGCTATCATTGATAAAACTCAAAAGATAAAGCTGTAATTTCTCTCCCATCCCCCACTGAAATATATTAGTAACAGACCTGAAATCAAAGCATAAGAATTTGCCATTTTAAGCAAAGCTCTTAAACTTAAAAACAAGGGAGCATGGAATATAACAAAGAGTTAACTGAATTACACTATCTGTCGGAAATCCCATGTGATTAAATAGCTGAAAAGAATGAGACTGTTATGCAACCTAAAATTACAAATGAAACCCCTTCAAATAAAATCTGTCCTTAAATATGAATTTATGGTTCACATATCCACAATTCATTAAAATTTGGTATCATCACCCCGCACTCCAAAATTGTTCATGCCAAACTGAATACTGAACAATTCAACTTCACAACACTACTTTCCTGAGGAAATCCTAAAAATATGAAGTCCTGAAAAGAAAGTCTTTTAAATGACAGAGAATGAGACACAGCAACTTTTTTTTAACATCAGTTTTATTATACTGCAGAGTATCTTTTTAAGTGCAGTATTTTTTTACAAAGGACTAAAAATGGTTGGTTGTTGGGAAGAGAAGGGGAGACTCCAAAAATTGTAAAATAAAAAGTCACTAAGAATACTTACATAAACTGTTAATTTCAATTTTAGAAGAAATGTAACATCTCAATGATAAACAGGTTCTATACACAGTATAAAGATTTATAACACCAAATGTAAAATGCAAAGAAAAAACATTGAAATATTTCCTGATAAATGAATGTTTCCATTGTCATACCCATTTAAAGTGGGAATGCTGCTGAAGGCAATTCAAGTTTAAAAAATAAATAAATAAAAATTTAAAAACCTGTAGGAACATTTCAGATCTTTGTCCTGGGCATAGGTCATTAGTTTGGATCAAATAAGCTCTTACAAAAATTCTCTACAAGTTTGGATGTTTAGGTCATTTACTTGGCCTAGTTCACAGGATTCTGAAGAAGAACCACCCTGCATACCCGGACCCTGTGCTGGGTACAAGCAAGGACCCACTGTAACACACCAGCTCCCTGCTTCACATCAGGTGAACTTGGGTGAGTCTTCTCTCGGAATTCTGGGCCTCCTTGCTTTAAGGAGCAGGCCATGACTTAGTATGAGCTGCTCTTAGAAAATCCTCGAAGTGGATTATAGCTGAGATAACTGAGGGAAAGGAAAAAAAAATGGGTTGCTGGCTTTTAATTGGATTGCTTACTGAGAGTATAAAAAAAAAAGTCTTTGCTGGTTAAATGAGAAACTGAATTCTCTTTAGCTCTTAACGAGAAAGGACACTTGCTTCCCAACCAGAATAGCCAACAGAGTAACAATAGTTGTTCAGATCCCTGAATCCAGAGTGGTGGAGATGGGTGCCAGGAGACATCCAGTGTGGCAGCTGATCCTGGAGAGGCCAGCGGGAGCCCCAGGGAAAAATGCAGGGTGCGCTGAAATGGCTTCGCCCTGAGTGAGTGGCCCATGCTTTGGAAAGCATCCTGGGTCTGGGAGCGTCTGATAAACTCTTGATGACCCTTGCTTGGATATTCTTAGGTGACTAAGAGTCTTTGTGGGGTTGCCTGAGAAAAAATTTCCTACATACCGTAACGCAGTCCTGTAGGGATATCCACATCATCTAACTCTTTGGAGATGTGTATGAAAGGTCTGGCTTTCCCTAGAAGTTTGTTTAAACTCTACCAATCTCAAAACTAATGGGAAATCATGCGTCCCAGGCCAATAAGGCCCATGACAGTCAGCCTCCTGTTAATACTAAGATGGCTAAGATGTGAACCCTTTGATACTAATTTTTTGTGCGCACAATTAGAAAAAAAGCCAGCTATAAAATTAGGCAGAAAGAATGGAAAGCATATTTAATTAATCTCGAGAAGCTTCAGAAAGGATTTAGATAGACTGACCTATGACTTTTAGGTGTCAATTTTGAGGTATTAAAAATGGAGATCATTTGGAACTTGTCAAGGACAGATATAAATTACAAATGCCTCCAAAACAGAATTTTAATCCAACAGTTTTCTGTTTGTGTGTATCTGTGTGTGCCTACTACTTGTATGTTGTAAATGTGGAACCTCTACATCTAGGTGGTATTGTTAAAATTAATCGAAAGGCAAGTGCTCATAAGAATTGGGTACTCTAAAATTCTTAGAAATACAGAATCTAATTCAAATGCTTTTTGTCAATGTGACCTAAGACTGATCCTTAGTAAATAAAAGCTAGCTTAAATCTGTAGGTTTAAGTAAAATAGGCATGTCTTTTTTTTTTTTACTTGGGTTTTACAAAAATTAGTGTATGTTAATAATTGGCTTTGATGTCTATGAAATATGTTTCTAGAAGTTATGCAATGTCTTAAGTATATCTGCCAGTAAAAGAGCCTATGTTTCCAGAGGTTATAAAATGTATTCACTTATCTGCCAAGCTAAAGAATGTTACTTGCTTCTTAGTTTTCATTAAAAATTGAGGTTTTAAGGGTAAAAATATGCATAAAAATAACTTTGTGATGTTCCAGAAGGGCACCTGAAGCACCTCAAAGGATTTGTCTTTTACGTTAAACTGTATGGCAAAGTAAGTGATTAAGAAAATGATTAGTCAGGATTATGGGAAATCCAAGACAGCAGCTTGGTCCTTCTCTGCTCCCTGGCTCCCCATTTTTCAGTTTTTATATTCCTTTATGCACTGCAGTGCATTTAAGCTAAACTTACATGAAGGAAATTATGAGCCACGTTATTGAAAGGCGACATCTTACACTATTGCCAAGGTTTGACAGAGTTCAAGAAAATGCCAAGTTGGTAGCTTCCTTTCACACTGAGATCCCAGGACACACAGACTTTTCAGAGGTGTCCAACCGTTTGGCAGCTCAGGGCCACACTGGAAGAAGAGTTGTCTTGGGTTGCACATTGCGACATGTAATCACACAAAAACCCCTCATGTTTTAAGTATATTTAAGTACAATTTTGTGTTCGGCCTCATTCACAGTCATCCCAGGCCACAGATAGGACACCCGTGCTTAGATTTTATTTTTGGAAAGAACATCAAATAAAAGACACTCTCCAACTCGGAAACCTATCAGGCACCCAACCACAAATGGACATTTACCTCTGCCTCTGACACTCTCCTCCATCGAGAATGGACATCAAAGCCTCCTCAAGGATGAGAGGCTGATGACATCAGAGGTAAACAGCTATCCCATGACACTGACAAGGCCTGCATCTCAGAATCCATTTTGTTTGTCTTTACCTGTTTGCTAATGATATTAGTCATAATAATAGTTATACTCATTGATTGTGTTTTCTCAAATAGTCCTATTGTTTATGATTACTGAACATGTATAAAATAATTAATACTCTTTTTGTGGCTTATGTAAATATTATATTACATGCTAAATATAGAAAAATAAGATAGAATCATGATAGTTATAGAAATGATCCAGAGTGGCTTTCCCCCCCCTCACAATGGTTGGCCTTAAGACTGCCTTCCATTTACCTGCGCTTCCATTTACCTGCGCCTCCCTTTCGGGGAAAATTCAGCCTCAAATCATATGGTTACAGCCCCATCCCCAAATGTCAACAGGACAACATCCATACTGAAACTTCCTAAAAATAACCCTTCCTAAAGCTATGACACCACACTATCAGACGAAAAAGTTGAACATCAATGGATCCTTCGGATTGATTTATGACCAACAAGGAGAACTACAGATGTAAAAGAGGTCTATGGGAAGCAACTTCACAGGGTGATCTGATAGTCAAGCCCCAGGCATACAACTTCTTTACTAAAAGGCCTATCTTTGCCTTAAATAAGCTCCATCCATTGTTTCTTTGCACGTAGGATAACACACTTTTTAAATGTCTCTTTTCAGATTCCTCCTTCTAAAAAGTAGCTGACCTCTATAAAACAAATAATCTTAACTATGAATCCAATTTTCACCTTGTTTTCTCCCATCTTCTGTAATCTTCCTTCCTCATCTCTTTAGTTTCAAATGCATGAAAGAAACTATGAAACTGTGATTCTCAAATGCAAAGCACTTGGGATCTTGCTTTCCAGCATATGTCGTCAGTTTGGCTCAAATATACCCTTACAATTTTTTTTTAAGTTGTAAACATTTTAAAGATTTGTACGCTGAAAATCAGTAACCACTATATGTCAATAGAGACAAAGAACAACATTCTAAGGGATAATCAGTTACCAAACAATAAGACACATCAAAACAAAGAAAAATCAAAACAGCAAACCTTTAAAATAGTATTAAGTGCATACCCATTAAATCCAGTGACAATTTTCAGTATTCTTTCCTTCATTTCATCAAAGGGAATATATTCGACATTAGGGTTAGGTGGGCCTCTTGGTTCGGGGGCTGAAGTTCTGAAATCATCCATCACTTTCTCCAGTTTGAAAGTAAAATAGCCTTTAAATTGGGACCACTGAATCCTATAAGCAAAAATTAAAAAAATGTAATACCATGTAGCTTTACAATTCTTGAACACAAAGCACAAATACAGCACTTACCATCACTAATGGTAATAAAATGAAGATCTCAGTATGTAGTAGTAGGAGGAATGTCTTTGTTCAGCAGCATGTACCATATATATGACTGATCAATCTTACTCACAAGCTCCAACCTGGTTTCATCCATTTCTCCAAACTCCTGACCCAAACGAAATCAAAAACTTTAAAATAACCTACCTCTATCTAAAAGCCTATAATGTGCTACATCCTATCCCTAACATTTTAAAAACACTATTTTGTTCTGATTCTATGCCAAAGAACAAATTTAACAAGAAAGGTGTTAATGCCCCATTCAAAATAGGTTATTAGATATTGGCCCAATATCACATTTATAATTTGAAGTGTGTAAATCAGTCAGAATGACGCCATACCCCAAGCTAAAATGCTCGTATAGACTACTGAAGGATTTTTTTGCTTTTGTTGCAGAGCAAATAAACTTCAATTTCTCCTTTCATTTTCACTATCTTTTGTCATTGGAAAGGTGTATCACAGGTTCTATCCAACATGTACTGTAAAATAGAAATATATAATTTCTTTATGTAGTTTTTTACTATCTATTCATTTATTAAATATAAACATCTTTTCGTCCCTATCCCCTCAACATCTTACCATTAGTATGAGGAAATTTTGTTGATACCTGCCTAGAGTGTCTAAATCCAGGGATTCAAGAGTCAGGAAGGCCAACCATTTCCCCAAACAGAGAGTACATCCATTCATTAGTGGCAGCAGATAGATCTCTTATACAGTGGCTACTTACACAAAATTAAGGGAATGTAATCTGCAATCATTTTTTTTAAGCCCATCCAGGAACCCTGTAAATCAGGGTAGCAGTTCTAAAAGTACGGTCCAAGAGGTCAAAGCTATTTTCATAATAGCTACATTTTTCACTGTGTTGATATTTGCATTACTGGTACAAAAGCAGAGGTGGGTAAAACTGATTACCCTTTATTACAAATCATGGCAGCAGTACCAAACTGTACTATTAGTAGTTATCATCTTCATTACCAAACAATCTCACAATAAAACAAAAAGAAACCTGTTTCACTGGAAGTTTAATAAAACAAAAAAAATTACTAATGTTATTAAATTTCAACTTTTAAATATACTTTTTTAATACCCTATGTAACAAAATGAGAAGTATACACAGAGGACTTCTGCTGCATATCAAAAAATACTATGTACATCTCAAGAAAAAAAGAGGTGACTACTGTTGCTAGCTAAACTAGCTGCCACTTTTCATAAAAAGCCATTTTTAATTGAAAGGGCTGTCAAATAATGCTTATTGAAACCAGGAGACAGTTGACCTTTTTTCAAAAATAAATGAACTTGAGTCTATCAATTCAAGATAAACAACTCAAATATTTGTGGCCAGTGATAAAATTGAAGCAAAAAGTTAAAGCCTAAAAAATGTTCATTCATCACCATGAGCTTAGAAAATTCCTGATACATTCCCAAGACATCAATCAGTGTCGATATAAAAGGTACTGTGTCACAAACACACACTACAGACAACAAAAGATACAGATAAAATTAAGTTACATCAAAATAAAAAATTTACATATGTCATAGAGTGCTATCACTGACAGTAACAACGCAACCCATAGAGTAGGAGGAAATATTCACAAGTCATGTATTTAACATGGTGTTAATATCCAGGATATATGGAGTACAATTCAACAACAACGAAAACAAATAAGTAAATTAAAAAATGGGCAAAGTACTTGAATAAACATTTCCTCAAAGATATACTTATCTCCAGTAAGCACAACAAAAGATTCTCAACATCACTAATCATTAGGGAAATCTATGAAAACCATGAGATGGAACTCCACATGCATTAGGCTGACTGCTATCCAAAAACAAACAAAAACCAGAAAGTAACAAGTACCGACTGGGCAAGGATGTAAAGAAATTGGAATCCTTGTGCATTATTGAGAGGAATGTAAAACGATGTATTGTAAAATGGTACAGCCTCTGTGGAAAACAGTACAGTGGCTCTGCCAAAAAAAAAAAAAAAACCAAAAAAAAAAAACCCCACAACAAAAACCACAACCCCTTATTACCTGAGCAATTCTATTTCCACATAAATACCCAAAAGATCTTAAAGCAGGTACTCCATCACATACAGGTACACCAATGTTCACAGCAGTATCATTCACAATAGCCAAAAGGTGTAAGCTACTCAAATGTCCACCAACAGATAAATGGTTAACAAAATTATTCAAAGGGATATTATTCAGCTTTAAAAAGAGAAGACTGACAAATGATGCAACATGGGTTGATCTTGAAGAGAGACGTATACTAAGTGAAATAAGCCAGACACAAACAAACAAGGATTTTATGCTTCCATAATAAGAGTTACCTGGAAGAGTCAAGGTCAAAGAGACAGAGCAGAAAGGCATTTACCAGGGGCTGGGAGAGGGAAAGGGTGAAGCATTACTGCTTAACTGGTACCATATTTCAGTTTGGGAAGACGAAAAAGGTCTGGAGTTCGATGGTGGTGGTTGCTTTGGAACAAAATTGTGAATGTACTTAATGCCACTGAATTACACACTTAAAATTATACAGTATTATTTTACCCTGATTAAAAATAGGCAAAAGATTCAAATAGGCATTATCTAAAGATGTTTAATAAATGCAAATGAAAATGAAAATCACAATGAGATACCATTTCACACCCACTAGCATGGTTATAATACAAAACATGGACTATAATACAGAAGGACAGTAACTAGTGTTGTGGCGGATGAAGGGATTGCTGGAGGGAATGTTAAATGATTTGGTCATTTTGGAAAACAGTTGGACAGTTAATCAAAAATAAAGAATGAAGGTGGCATGTGCCAGACAATTCACTCATTAAATATGTAAATTACATAGCTTGTAAACTGTATTACTATTATAAAAAAAAAATTGGGAGAGAATTACTACTAAAAGCTATTTGTGAGAAAATCAAGATGTTGGAGAAGTAGAGGTCACACTGACCTCCTCCCAGGACCAATCTGGAATTACAACTAAATTGTGGAGAAATCACCTGGAACAAACAACTGAACAAGAGCAAGAGAGGAGCCTTATAACCTCAGACAGACAGAAGAATCAGGTTTAGCACAACCTAACTGGTAAAGGAGTGCACTAGAGACTCAAGAAGGTGGGCGGGGCGCCCACGGGGAACAGCAGCGCCACAAGGATATTGAAACAGCTAGTTGGATCCCCCTGAGAAGAGCAGGGTCTAAACCACAGGAGGGGATCTCTGGCCTACAACACAAAGAGCCCCAAAAGTACACAGGTAACAGCCAGGTGCAAAAAGCGGCAGGGTTGCTCTCTTCCAGGGACAGGCAGCTACAGACACAAGGAGCTGTTTAAAGGGGCCAACACATAAATTTTTATTAGTAGCCACTGACCCTGGTCTCGGGCAAAGGCAGGGGCAGAGTGGGCTAAGAGATGCTTGGGAGGCTGGGGAAGGAGGCTCTGGGGAGAGAACTGAGAGAGTAGCCAGGAGGATCCTAGTGCTGACTCCTCCCCCGTGCAGCAGCAGCCATCTGGCTCAGGCAGATCACTCCCCTGAGAGGTGGCAGCAAGAGAGGACCCAATAACCCAGCCCCCAGGAGGGATTCTGCCCCGCCATGTGGTGTCTAACCCAGCCTGCTGACTGCAGAGTGAATAGATTAACAGCTGAAGGAGACAGCTACAGACAGTAGATTCCTGAAAATCTGGAACAGACTGCCTAAGGTCAGACACGGTCAACATCTGACATCATCAGAGGCAGATCCAGAAAGAAAAACAGCGGTCTCCCATCATGGAAGTTCACACCACAAAGTCAGGAAGTCAAAACAGATCAATTTAAGAAGTAGAAGCAAAAAAGAAGTCTCAAAAATAATGGGAAGACAAAAAAACACCCCCCAGTCAATGGGAAAGGAGGATTCCCCATAAAGAGAAATAAATGAAACAGAGACAAGTCAACTACCAGATATTGAGTTCAAAACAACGGTTCTAAGGAAGCTCAGTGAACTCAGTGAGCTCAGAGAAAATTACCAAAAACTACAGGGAAACTATGAGGAACTTATTGCAAACTCTATCAGCATGAAAAAGGTCACAGAAACCATCAATAAGATGCAAGAGGAAATGAAGAATACAATTTCTGAATTGAAGAACACAGAAGAAGGAATCAAAAGCACGCCAAATGAAGCACAGGACTGAATCAGTGAGCTGGCAGATAAGGTAGAAAAAAGCTCCCAGAAAGAGCAAGAAAATGAAAAAAGACTCAAAAAGAATGAAGAGGCATTTAGGGAAAAGGAGGATAACATTAAATGTAGTAATATCCATATAATAGGGATACCAGAAGGAAAAGAGGAGGACGAAGGGATAGAGAACCTGTCTGAAAAAGTAATGATGGAAAACTTCCCTAACTGGAGGAGAGAAAAAGTCACACAAGTCCAGGAAGCACACAGGGTCCCACTCAGGAGGAACCCAAAGAGACCCACTCCAAAACATATCATAATTAAATTGGCAAATATCAAAGATGAACAGAGAATCCTAAAGGAAGCAGGGGAAAAACAGGTAGTAATATATAAGGGAGCCCCGATATAGCTAGCAGCTGATTTCTCCACAGAACACTGTAAGCCAGAAGAGAATGACAAGAAATTTTTCCGAGTAATGAAAAGCAAAGGCCTGCAACCAAAACTGTTCTACCTGGCAAGGTTCTCAATTAAAATGGAAGGCAAAAATAAGGAGTTTCCCAGACAAAAGAGGGCTAAAAGAATACACCTCCACCAAACCAGCATTGCAAGATATGCTAAAGGGACTGCTTTAAGATGAAGAGTCCTTATGAACACCCAGTTCCTTTCACAGTCACCAATACTTGATATTACTAATATTTTTAATACTTATTAATCTGATTATTACAATGATTGTTACTTTAATTGTTC